CCTCCCCCCCCCCGCTCTACGGTAGTTTCTGGAGAAAGCTGGTACATAGGATGGGGGGAGGCTCGTAGCAGAGGAACCTTTTCTTTCTGAGGGGGAAAAACGGGTTTTGTAGAATCCTTCCTCAACGCGAGGGTGCCCTATTTTGGGAGCATAGGAATGCTCATTTCAATTTTGGCAATTCTCGCCTGCCGTTGCATAAGCCGTCGCATTTCAAATACCACGACGATTCTGAGTGGAAACTGAATGAGTGGCGCATCCCAATAATCGTCAGTCGGGGCTGGGAGCTCTATCCTTCTGTGCTTTCCTCCGTGAAGGTCCGACTCTGCCTGTCCTCGACTTATACGTCCAGTTGTACTGCGCCTTCAGCCGATTTTGCTTCGAAAGCAAAACGAAGGCGTGAAAGGCAGTTCTAGGAAAATAGTGGTCTTGGAAATGGACGTCGTTGACATCACTAATGGCAAAAACACTCAGACCGCCTACTTATCCGAGATTTTTGTGCGCTTCAAATGAAGTGCAGTTTTCGAAGAATAAGCTTCAGTCTGATCGGCTTTAGACGAAACGACCTTATGAATGTGGGCGGATTGAGCCGCTCCGATCTAGAATCACTCAGCCTCATCACCTAGGCCATTTCGTTCATTTTCTCCTCTCTCTCTCTCTCTCTCTCCTCTTCTTTCTATCCTGCTCCCTATGACTATCGCTTAAGAATCTGCTTGTTAGTGCACGTCTTGGTTCACTTTGCGATTTGATGGGGCATTTCTAGAGAGGGGCAATCCGTCTAAGTGCTTATTAAGATCGATGTCTCCATCAGCTCTTCTCCGCCTCGACGACATACTTCGACGGCCGAGAGTTATCCGCACTCTCACCCACGCCTCCGCCGAAAGCAAACATCCTCTTCTTTGCTTCTCATTGCCCACGCCTATACATGGCATTTGGTAGCCAGCTTGCAAATTGCATTTTTTTTGCTGCTATAAATAACAAAGTAGTCAGATATAATCAGGAATTAGTCTGCTACGGGGGTGGGGGATATTAACTGAACTCTATTAATATAACTGGCTACTTTACGTTGTATTGTTAAGTCCTGCAATCTACGGAGTGGTACCAATTTCTTCTTTATGGAACCAGGTTAGGTAAGAAAAAGCAAACTAACCTAGGGCACAGTTCGGCTTGGAGGGACATTTCGCTGGTCCTCCTCAATTACTGCCGATACCTCCTGGACTCCTGTGGAGACCTGTAATTTCCTGTGAGGGTATGCAGTGGCAGGATCTCTGCTTACACTTGACAAGTGTTTACAGGTGTTACCCAAGTGAGGCGTGAAATGTAGCAGGACTTAGCAAAAGAAACTAGTTAATGTGCATAATGCCCCTCTCAAGCCAAACAGCATTCAAGCTGGATAAGGTGGGAATGGCAAGAAAAGCAGTTATGGCTCCTGATTTGAACCTTTTCGCACAAATACGAAAGCCATATTCACTCAAAGTAATTGATTATCACGCCCCGGAGCTCCTCCCCCACCTTCCGAGCTAAAATCATCATCCTCTGTCATACTATCGTTTCTCAGCAGTTTCCAGCGCCACTCGACGCTTCAGAAATGCCAGGAATGGCTGCAAGTGTAACTGTGCCCCCTCCAAGCTGAATTGTGCCATGCCTTGTTCTGTCTGTTCTTGCATAATTTGATCGACTCCACAAAGAACAACTGAACCATTTTGTAGCTTTACAGGCCTTTACTGTACAAAATGTGCGCTCATAGCGACTGAATGCTGCGCCTTCCGCTACAAATTGACCATTCCTTTTTTTTGGATTTTTAAGCTTTCTACGGGTTGGCACGGTTCCAGGTGTAGTATCTTCCTGCGGACGGAACTGGACGCAGTTCTTCCTAAGACAGAGACCAAGTTCATTGTATGGGCGGAGACGGTGCTTCCTTATCGGTGTGCCATCATCTCTTGTTAGTCTCAGAACTACGGGTGCAGTAACCCGCAAAGCATAGTCGTACGTCTCTCTCCGCCCACGCAATTGACGTGGACTGGCAATTACATTGGGCTTGCTTTTGCTTGAAAACCGTCCGCTTCTGCAAGAGAGAACAGATTTCAAAAAATATTAGCTTTTTTATCGAGTTGTACCATCCTCTGCATTTACAATGGACTATTTTCAATAATGCCTAGTCCTGCATATTTTATGAGTTCATGTTCCCATTGAAGGGCTATTCCTATAATGTGTGCAATTCATGAATTTCGCCCACACAACCCGCCTTCATATGAAAAAAAACCAGCACAACTCTCCAGTTGAATAACTGGTAGCTAATTCTACGTATAGCTGCTGTTCCGTTCACGTGACGAACTTCCTTTTCTTTTTCTGTGCTTAAATCTGACGACGTTAAGTGGGATTTTTTTCAGGGCAGCATACGCTTCATCGAAAGAATCCCAGTGGGCGGCACTCAAAATGATAATGGCCGAGCGAGCAGCAGACTGTCTGGCCAAACTGGGGCTCGACGGTTCCATTCATAACAGCGAAATACCCAGTCAACAGTCTCATCTTCAACCTTCGTTCGGACATCATCGACGGTGAGTTCTGAGTATTGAAGTACTTGGCTGAAACCTATTTACGGCGCAGGTCGGCTTGATGGGGGCAAGTGAAGCTAGTTCAGGCACTTTGTGAAGTTTTGTGAACTCTTCTAGCCAAATCGGTTCACTTGCACCATTTCGTAGCTTCACAGGAGTTAATAGGTTTGACCAAAGTCTAACCGGCTGCAACATGGGCCAGCAAAAAGAACTAGCGAAAGTACAAGATGCCCTTCCCAAGCCGAACAGCACCCATTTTACTTGTTTTGCACATTGTAAATTCATGAGAGCGTCTGCTTCTTTATAGATGTCGCAGTCTGAGAGAGCGAACAGGCGTTGATCACCGTTTGGAACGACTTCCCAGTGGTCCAATCAACAAGACTCCACTGTATACGGTGATCACTGGTGTCAATACTAATAAGAGGTAAGCGAACGAGGGGACTGGGTCTTTTACTTAGCTTCGGCCCTTCAAACGATTCTCTTCAAACGAAACTTGCCTCGAACGAAGTGACTAAATCCTGTTCATGGTCTGCTAATTCATTTCTCCGCATAAGGCGACCAGATGGGGCCTATTAGTGGCAAGAAGTTGGTCAAGAAGAAAAAGAACAACCGATAGGGAAAGCCCTTATATCTTTCAGAACGTCCTTCTGCAGAATGAGAACAGCATTAAGTATAGTCTGAGGAAGACTGAGGCGGAGGTGGTGCTGTGGGAAGCAGCTTGTTAACCGCTTCTGGGGGAAATCCTATCCAGGCCCGCTACGGTGGTGAATCAAACCAACAACTGTGAGCTGCCTAAGCTGAGAAGGATCCCTGGATGGGAATTCTCTTAGTAGAGATATCTTCCAGCTGGAAAAAAAAGATGATTCAAAGG